ATGGGAATGCTATTCAAAAACATTCCCCACTAAGTTTTAGCACCCCACTGACTCTCTTTTTCTTAGATATAACCCGACCAGAACAAACATTCGTAACTTCCTCTTGTTTAATTTACAGTTAGTGTTGCCAAATAGAGGCCTCTCACGTCTAATATCTCATGCTGTATCTAAAGAGACTGTCCAGTCCAAACTACGAACACTGTGAAAAAACATCTCCAATCCTTTTATACATTTCCAACATACAGATGTTGTCTGACGTTTGTGTTCTTAGCTTGCATTCATTTTCTTATGGAAATAAGCAGTCTTAAAATGAGATCATAATCCCTGGATTTTGATGAAACTTGGTCGGACTACAAAGTCCTCATGTTATGGCTTTAAGGAAGCTTCTAAAGGGCCGTTCACACCAAGCGCTAATAACCATGAAGTTTTAATAAAAATAACCATAAAGGGAAATGGTGATGGACAAACTATGACAACTATGATAACGACAAAGCGACAATATGGTTGGAATCACTTTTCCAGGTGTTGAGCATAAAAAATTTGACAGCCAATCAGAATCCACCTGACATTGGCCCTGTCCCAAATCGCACTCTAAACCCCCGCGGTCTTCCTCTGAGTCCACACTTTCGTGACATAATGCCACTTTGACTGTCGGGTAGAAGTCTGGTGCGGAGCTCATCTCAGGCCCTGTCCCAAATGGCACACTTCATGTGCACTTGCGGTCTTGTGGACCTTTGCGTCCACTATGCGCCCTTGGTGCACACTTCGGCAGACTTCGCTCACGAGCACCCTTCTGATAGCTAAAATGACCATTAAGGTCTACGGTCTCGTGGACTTAATGGACACGTGCACGCGATGGCCATTGTAAGTCTGCAAGACCGCAAATGCACGTGAACTGTGCCATTTGGGACAGGGCCATTAAAGAGCTCGAGCATTTAAAGTGGCAGACGACATGACTGCAGCACGTGCTTATAATAATCAGAACACTATCGCCCGAACACTAAGGCTAGCTATCTTTTTTGTGAACGGCCCTTTAACTGTGAGAAGACATTTAATAGGCCTACAGTTTTAGGATTTCATATCCCACCTGCATTTCCCTTGTGAAGGACAACCTGTTAAATTAAAAACCAGAAAAACGCCCACCATGTCTCGCAGGAGGAATGTTTTCATTGTTTTACGCATTGATGGCCATTTTAGGAGAGGTTGCACAAGTAGTCCTTACATTAACCTTAGGTTACACAGAAAACTGTGACGTTCTGCAGCGCTTCTAAGACCCTGATAGCACACTTACATCACGGAGACGTCTATTTGACTTCTGCAAGACTTATTTTTTAGAGTGTTTGCTCATCTGCAATCGGTCAATAGGACGTTTCCTATCAGATGTCAGACGTTTAGAAAATGTCTTTAAAGGGGTCATCGGATGCAAAATTCACTTTTGTTGTTGTTTGAACATAAATGTGTGTTGGAAGTGAGTGTAAACATCAATCCTATAATGATAAAAATCCACCCAGTGGTTTTTTTAAAATCTCTATTTTAAAATCCCCTTTCTCACATCAGGCTGTTCTGAGATTCCTGTAAGAATTACGTAGTTCTGCACAGGCCCCTCCCACCATAGTTGATTGACAAGGCCGTGTTACCTTACACCCGCCCTCAGTGAGCTGTCATCAGTCCGCCATTGTGTCGACTCCGGTGCAGGGGAAGACAAGAATGTCTCCGATTAAAGCAATTGAGGTGTTTTGTTGTTGGATGTAATAATGAACATAGCAGTCGTCATTTACTCCCGACATCTGAGCCGCTGAAGACGCAGAGGATTAACGTTACTTTCGTTTTGAAGGGAATATGCCGATCCCCGATGTTCGCGCAAATCATTCGTGATCCAGCTTCATCTACACAAGAAGTGAGTATACGGTTTTTTATGAATCTTTGCAAATCGCCTTTCCTAATATGTGCTAGTTAGCAAGTTTTGTGGCTAAAGTAAACAGTATCATGAGAACGGCTCGTCACCCCACAGAAGAGAGGGGCGGGGTCAGCAGAGCTCATTAGCATTTAAAGCAACATGGAGTAGAACAAAGTGCTGAAAACAGCTCATTTTGACAGGGTAAAAAGGGTGTTTTTTTACACTACCATTGAGAAATTTTAACCAAAGTATGTTATAGACTTTTCATTAAGACCCTAAAGAATCATATCAACTTATATCAAATGGGCATCCGATGACCCCTTTAAG